CATCTGGTGAGATCGACAAACGAATCTCTTCTTCATGCATTTTCATTCGAAATGAAGGTCCCCCTAACAAAGTATTTATAGTTGAATGCTCGTCATCTACATCTCTCAGAGGCTGGTGCATTATACCAATTTTTATGCGTGCTTTAAAGTCTAGCATAAACATATTTCAAAACTGGTGAGATTTGTATAGTGGTTATTTCGCAACTTGGTCATGTTGGAAGAAAGACCTAGAGGAATGCACCTCGTCTGGAATCCATTTTATGGACATGGTAAATTCCTAGGCGTTTCGGCGGCATCTTGTGTGCCAACCCACAATCGTTGTGGTTCAACAGTGAACCTAATCAAAGCAAGCAGTACCACAACATTTGTGGGTTGGCGCACAAGAAAATAGAGCATAGGAAGTCATAGGCTTGGTATTACGGATAGAAACGGGATAGACGCGGCGGAGACTGGAGCTAGTTGGGTGATAGTAGGTTTTACCATAGACGTGGTACATGTAGCAAAGGCTCGACCGTGAGACTTATTCAGAAGCTTTAGCCTCGAATCAGTTACCTAGATGCACGGGAGGGGTAATAACGTCTCGAGTGGCACAGATGGGGTGGCAGGGGTCGAGTGAAATACGTGAACTAGTGATATAGCAAACGGATATTATGGGGCAAGAGAGAGACTATGATAAGTCCTAGGGAAGGAGGACTGCGTAACAATATGACAGACTCTGCTCAACATTCCCAGCTCAAGGATGAAAGGGGTGAGAACTACAGTGTGGAGTGTGAAGGGTTTTCATGATAGCCGCTCAAAGGAGCACACCATACTACATAGAAATAAGGACAGTAAAAATTTTAACAGTTAAGGCGTGATATACCACAAATGTTTAGCACAAGTTTGGTCTCTTTGGTGAAATGTGTTGTGGTGCTAGGACTGGCAGGACTTACTGACGATGCCGAATACGATGTCGGCGAAATGTCTGGGAATGTACCACGTCCACGGTCCGACTTTGGAAATGATCATGCAGACAATGGACTCCGGCCTAGGTGCGTTCGTTTAAGTCTTCCTATCAATATGACCAAGTCGCGAAAACAAGGTCAAACAAATTTTATCTAACGAAAGGAGACTACGACCACACAAAAGGCCACACCATCTTGGTCCTCACACCTTTGGTGAGATTTGTATTTCTTGATTTCTTTTTGCCCACTCTAGTATTGTATTTTAGAGGAAAGCAGCGCTTTAAAAACCATTTTACCATGTTTTATTTAAGTTCGCATAGCCTATCTTTTATTTTACTTTTTTTAGGCCTCTGGACTCTCTTCGACTAGTCTCATTTGGGCCTATCACTCTGAGGCAGAAGAAGAACTGCTTTCACGCCTCCCTTCGACTAGTCCTGCAACAACCTCTCCAGACCTTGGATTTCAGGCTAGACCCGGTCTTGGATCTGGACAAGCAGGCGAGTTTACGACTCTCGCTGGCGGAGGTCAGCAGTCGCAACTCACCTGGTCTGAGTTCAAGCGGTTTGGTTGTGGATGGTGGATTCGATCAGACGCTCTACTCAGGCAATGCATTGAAAAGGCTAGTCGGCATGGTTATTTATGAATATTTTTTACAGCTCCTCCACTTTTTTTTTATTAAAATTCTTAATAATTTAACTAGTTTTCGCATCTCATTTTCTTTAACTGCCTTGTTTTGGTTCGTTTGCCTGTTTTTTGTGAAGTTCACATTTATGTGACGATGCACCAGCTATAAGTGGAGCAGTTATCATCAATGACTCTTATAGAATGAAAAATAGTGTCATAAATCCTTCTCCCCTCAGACAATTAGTTAGATTAATCACATTCATGGCAAATAATGGGTAATATATTATAATTTTACGGCGATACTTTTCTTCTTACCTATTCAAACTGTAGTTTATATTGGTCTACAAAAGCGATCTTTTCACACAATTTTTTGACGAACTTTATAAGGAATTAAGGCTGAATGTGTAGCTCCTCATTATTCTACAAATAGTGCTTATCACATGCTTATTTTGCATCCAAATCTGTGAACGCATGTTTCATCTTAGTTATATACGAATAACACCTTATTTTCACTTTAAAGCTGCGTTTTTTCGTCACTTTTAGTCAAAATTATAGACAGGCTAATTTACTTCTGTCATTTTTTTTCCTTTACTTCTTTTCAGATTGCTCGTAATATCTTCCAGACTACAAAGGATCCTATGGAAGCAGCTATTTTCTATATGGCCATGCGGAAGCCAAAGCTAGTGGCCGGTTTGTACAAGTAAGCATTTATGCTGCTTTTCTGCTGTTTTTTATACTCAATCCTCATATATAATTTTACGTTCTCTCTATCCTCACTTAGAATTGCCTTTAATAGAGTTTTTAATTTTTAAACCACTTAGAGCCCCCTGATCTCTTGTTTATTTAACTTAATCCTATTACTCTTATGCTAACACTTCTTTTCCTTGTATCATATGATGCTAACCAAGTTCGTCATTACGCATAATTTCTTATCAGCCTTTAGATTTTTAATGAATTATTTTCGCAAAGTTAAAAATTAATGAGTTTACCGGACCTAGAGTAACTGACCTTTGTTTTCTTTCCTGCCATTCTTGCTATGTTATGAGCTTTGTACCTGATAATAGAATACGGACTATGTTCCTCGAAGCTTCCTTGAAAGTACATCTGATTTGCTAAAAAAAGGGCATACCAGCTTCATATAGCAGAAGGGAACTACAACCGAACTGTGGGCCATACCCCTTTTTATTTATCTCTAGTCATCAAATGCATTGGCTTATTACAAAGAACCAGATATCTTTTTAATTTAGCAAATGATCTCACAATATCTAAATGGCTTAATGAACTGATGGCCTACTCGTTGTTCGTCTATTTCTTTGTCGTTTATCTTTAAAAAGGCCATCTACATTCCATTAGTCAAGTTAGAATTTTCCTTATTATAACAGGGGTCCAAAGCACTCAAATAAAATGTAAGTTCAAAAATTTAGCTTGGTATATCCGAATTTCGCTTATGAACTGAAAACTTAAATAAGAATTATTCCATTATTTATAGAGGTACCGAAAAGTAGTTAAATCGTAATGAGAGTTCTGCTGAGCTTATTGTGGGCGAAAATTACTTTAATCACCTTACGTTTAATAGAGTGAGCTGTAACTCATCGTGTTTATAAGCCCTTGAGACATGAGTATCCACAATATAATCGGACCTTTCTTTTTATATGGGGTTGGATGGAATGCAATTTTAATGGGTCTCATCGGTAACTGGCTTCATTTACATTGGAATCTTAACTGGTGATTTGAGCTTTTTCCTCAGGATAATACCGTCTTCTTATCCCGATGAATTCATGATGAGCCCTATTCAAATAGCCCTATGCTATTTGGTGTCATTTATCAAAGTATACTTTCTTGCTGTGGCACAGTACGTATTCATCGGATTAGATGGGGGTGCTCCTAGCACTTATTTGCTCTCCTGAATAGCCTAAATCGGACATATGCAGATAAATATGGTGGGTCCTTTATTATGGTCGCACGTTCTTTAACTGGGAGGTTTAATTGTACGAATTTAATAAAAGAATATTCAAAACTCAACTCTTTCTAAGAATTAGATATTATTACCTAAATTTCGATTATCACAATGAGTATTTTTTTTAATGTATACATTAATTTTTCATTTTGGGATTAATGAATTATATTAGGATACATAATGAGATTGTACCTATCAAAATAATTTCCAGTCTTTTCCCTGATTTGATACATACTCAAAAGTCTTATTTTGATCCGACGATATCGCTTACGTTGATTTTTATTTATCTTTCCGTACTATCTACCTAATCTTGAAAGTGACCTGCTGATTTCAATTGAATAATTATCAAAATGTATAATTACTTAAGAGCATCCTCACAGAGCATTATGATTACTTTTGTCACTTTGGCAAATTAGGTTAGGCGACGCAACACTTTTCAGAATGTTAATGCTGTGTTGGGAAATTAATTGCTATAGGCCTATTTCAAGAGATTAAGCCTAAATTCCCTATATCAGCGCACTT